TGCCCTCAGAAGGGAGGGATTTGGGGACACAGACTATGAAGTCGCTTCTGCCACCAACTGCCCCCATGACCTTGGACCTCAGCAGCCCTATGTGGATGTGGCCCCAGCCTCTCAGGGCAGCCCAGGAAAGCACAGCAGGCCCCGGAGCCAGCTTGCTGCATTCCAGCTGTCACTTTCTAGAACCTTCCACAGAGCCTGACACATGACCCCACAAACAGTCGCTAATAGGCGGATGGAAGACCCCGGATAAAGCAGTCTCCTGGCCTGTAACATGGAAGTCACAGGATAGCTGTGACCTGGGACATTAGGCTCAGCCTTTGGCCCGCCTGGGCCTGGCTGCCGTAAGTGTCACCCCACGGTGACGGTCACTGTCGTTTTTATACTGTTTGCAGCTCTGGGGAGCGAATCTAGGGCCTCACCCAGGCTAAGCAGCTGCTCCCCCACGGAGCTGCGCCCCAGCCCCGGTCACCCCATCATTACGTGCCCGAGAGGGACAGGAGGCTTGGTCTGCGGGACAGTGGGCAGTGACTAGCTGCACACTTGGAGGGTAGTTCTCGTAGCTCGGTGTGGGTGGGTGGTGACTATGTAAATCCCTTTATAGGATCTTTAAGCTCCAGAGAGGGACATGGTGGCACCTGGGGACGTTATGAGGAGCACGAGGACTCCAGCGTCCTGGGGGCCACCAACACAAGGCTGTGACCTGGAGCCGATCTTGGGAAGCTGAGCCCTCTCTGGTCCCTGGTTCCCATTTCCAGCCCTGAATCAACCCCTAAAAAAAGCTGGGCAGGAAGGGACTTGGGGACACAGGCTCTGAACCCAGTTCTGCCCCGATGGCCCCTTATGGACTCTGGGACCAGCTTCTCGGGGCTGACCGTGTACAGCACAGTGGGCTCTGGAGCCACCTGTTCCTAGCCCAGCTCTGTCACTTTCTAGAACCTTCCACAGAACCTTGCACCTGAGGGCACATGGCTCATCCCTGGAGAGGCCCAGCACAGGGAGCCTGCCTGTGGCCTCCAGCCCCAAGGACCCTGGAAATGGCAGAATTTTGCTTGTGACTCTGTGCTTGGATTTGGGGCCAGTCAGACCTGCAAGTCCCGGTGACTATGGGACACCTGCCTCCACCCTCCCAGGGACCCCTCCAGAGCAGACTGTGCTCTGCTATCAGGCTGGGGCGCCCAAGGACAAGAGGCTTGTCCCCGCCACCTGACCATGAGCTCCCAAGGATGAGCTGCCTCCCCACCGCGCTGGGGCCCCGCAGGGCAGGGGACCCGGGTGTCCTCATTCTGCACCCTCTGCTTGTCCCTCCGAGACGGGGCTGGCAGCTCTTAGAGCTGTCAGTGTATTCACGTTCCCAAGGCGTCTTTTGTCCCCAACTCCCAAGTTGTTTTCTAAGAGCCTTTTCCAGGTTCCCGACCCTGGAGCAAAGGGAGAAGGGGGCTGGGGTCTGAGTCCTAACCCGGGATGAGCCATCGGAAATGAGGTCCCCTGGGCTCCCCGACACCTCTTCAGAAGGACACAGTGCGCAAGCTGGGACCTCCTGTGTCAAGCGCTTAGCACCTGATCCCGCAAGGCTGGCGTTTGCGGTTGGGGACACCAAGGGACCCAAGCCTAAAGGAAGGGCTCTGCCCACCCAGTGGCTCTGCACTGGTCCCCACCCAGAGGTCCTGGGCCTCCGTTTGCTCATCCGTGACATGGGGAGCGTGCTCTTCCCTCCCCCAAGCTGAGCGGGGCAGGCACTGAGGCAGGACACAGGCTGAGCGGGTGACCGGCTGTGGGGACAGGGCCTGGCACAGGCAGGCAGCTGGTAAACCGCTTTCCTCTCAGCTGCCCAGGACACAGGCTCAGAAATGAGGAGAAATGGTTTTTCTGTGAAATTTGGCCAAATCTCCCAGGGAGTCCTGGGGGCTCTGTGGCACCCACTTCCCTGACTGCCTGGTGACAAGGGACCCAGGTGAACCTGCAGAAGGAGGGGTCTTCCCCCCAGAAGCCACGAGGGGGAGGAGCCGGCTACCCCAGGTCTGCCCAGGTGAGCTGCACTAAAGCCCCTCCTGCCGGGGTGGGGGGGACACTGGGCCCATTTGTCCCCACAAATGATCTCCCTATAGAGACCCCTCCTGGGTGAGAACCCCCCACCCCACCTCTCCAAGACCCCAGAGATGAGCCGGCGATGTTGCTTGGGCAGGGGGTGGGGGTGCTGGGGGGTGGGGGGCTGTGCGTGGGACCCTGGAGTCAGAGCTGGGAAAAGCTGGGGCTTCTGTCTTGGATGTGAAGCCCCCGCCCCCGCCCCCCGCCCCACTCCCTGTCTTTCAGGTCTTTCAGGAAGTGTCCAGGGCTGAACCCAGCTGGGCACATGGGTGCACACACACGCACACACATGCACACACACGCACACATGCGCACACACAGCCATTCACACACACACTCGTGCACACACGCACACATGCACACGCACACACATGCACACACGCACACACGCGCGCACACACCCATTCACACACACACACACACACACGCACACTGCTGCCCTGGCTCCTGCTCTGAGTGCGGCCCCCTCCCCCCGCAGCCCTTCACCCCTGGGTCCCCTCTGCCCCTGTCAGACCCTCCGTCTGTCTTCACACCTTTGGTGGGAACTCTGGGTGGCTCTCCTAGGTCACCCAATCCATCATGTCCCGCAGCTTCTCAGCCCCAAGATGGGGTGCACTCTCCCAGTCTCTTCCTTTCAATTCTCCTCTTGTGAGGCAGCCCGGTGTGGGTCCCCCTCGGGGGCTTCCAGGCAAACACACTCCACCCCAAAGCCGTCTAGCCATGAGCGGGGAAGTCTCCCCAAGATCGGTGCTCACCCCAGGGAGTTGTTCTCCCCTCCCTTGTCACCCTTAAGCCCATCCCCTCGCCCCAGAGACCCCCGTCTGCTGGGTCTCCTGGCTCTGTGACAGTGTCCTGCTGACGAGAAGCCTCAGGCACAGGAGGGGCTGCAGCTACTGGCAGGGGGCTAGGGTGCCCTGGCTCTGCCTGGCCAGCCAACATGTCCCGCCATCTGTAAAGGGAGGCAGGTGCTCCACGCTGTCTCAAGGTCCCTCTTCAACTTTCCGAGGATGTTCCCCCACACTGGCTCTGTCCCCAGGGCCAGGCCTGGACCACGTCTGCGCCATGGACACCCCAGCGCTCGGCAGCACCTTCCCTCGCAAACTCGGGGCTCCTGGGTTGCCGACCCCCTGTTCAGTCCCGGCCGGTTAGCCCCCCACACTAACGAGACAGAGGTCATGACCTTGAGCCCCCAAGAAGCCACTTGGTTTCACTGGCGAGGGGAGGGTTCTGGCCTGCAGACTGTGGGCACATGCAAGGTTCTGTTCACCCAGGAGGCCCGGCGAGACCAGCCCGGGGCTGACAGTTCAGCTGAGTCATGTCCCCTCCTCCTGTGGCCGGGCCCAGGAGGCTTGGGGAGCCTCCGGAGGGCGCTGCGTGGCCTGCCCAGGTTTACCGGGCACTCATCTGTGCCAGGCTGGAGCTGAGCCCTTTCCAACGGTCACTTCACTCCATCCTCAATGACCCTGGGAGGTGGGTACCGGCATTGTCCCTATTTCACAGATGAGCAAATCAAGGCACAGCAAGGGGAAAGGATTGCTCCGGGTCTTCCCAAGCGAGGGACAGGCGGAAACGCACGTAGTCCCCCCGCTGTGCAGGTCAGTAGAGACACCAGAAGCAACTTAGACCAGGGACTGGCATTTTTTTCTGGGTAGCCAGATAGTATTTGAGGCCCCACAGACTCTGGTCTCTTGGGAAGCTCAGCAACTCCTCCATCACTGCACTAAAGCAGCTGTCACGTGATGAACGTGGCCGTGTTCCAATAAAACTTTATTTACACAAACAGGTGGCTGGAGGCTGTGGCCTGCAGGAAGTAGCAGATCCCCTTGACTCTTTAAAAAAATATTTTCCCTCGAGGTAGACAACAGGTGTCCCATATCGATTACACTGTCCAGGAAACAGGACAGGGAGTCAACTAACATTGGCTCGGCCCTTCTTTCGTGCCAGGCTGGGTGCTAGGCGCTTGGATTGGTGAGCAGGTTGGTGCAGGTTGGCAACCGTCTTTGTGTAACGGGGGCTAAACCAAGGCTTGAGCTGCACAGCAGCTTGAGGTCACCCCAAGAAGGCAGAGCGAGGATTTCAACTCACCCTGAAGCCCTCCCCCTCCCCCGCAGCAGCTGTTGGGATCCGTTTGTGTCTGGTGTCTGCTCCCCACAGACAGGCCTGGGCGTCCCAGCAGGTGAGAGACAGAATAAACCCAGACGGCTCTGCCCCTCCCCCACGGGGACCTGGGAGCTACTGCAGCTACAGAAACGAACCCATCGGTGCCTCAAATTCCCTGGGACTTCTGGCACCATCGACTCCTGTTCCTCAAACCCACCAAAAGCCACCAGGAGCCCAGCGCCATCTCTCTGACTCCATCCCAAGCAGGTCCCAGGACCTCTCCGAGTGACTAAAGCAGCAACCAATCATAGCGAGTGAACAGAGTTCTGAGACCCAATCAGAGTGCAGCTCTGAGTCCAGAGCCTCATCTGCAATTCTCTGCACCCACAGGGGGTCCTGCCTCCCAAGGACAGGTCACTCCTGGTGGGAGGCAGGAGATGCAGCCCAGGTGGACCCAGGCACCGTCCTGAACAGCATGAGGTGGAGGGGGCAGGCCAAGGGCAAGTGCACACAGTACTGTTTCGGTTTCTGGACGGCAAGACAGTGGAAGCCCTCCCTCCACACGCAAGTGGGCAGCTCGAGAAGCTCACCCAGGGCCGAGGACCGCGGCTACCCCAGTAAGTGGGAGTGGACGGAACAGCGCCACCCCCCGCTGAGACTCTCAAGATCCCCAACAGGCAGGGGGCTCACGGAGACCAGTGAGTTCTCAGTGACACCTGCTCTCTCCGTGGAGAACCAACCTGGGCACCCAGGGCACCCACAGCTAGGCCTCAGGTGTCTGGTGATGGCCTGGGCAGAGCAGGGGGGCCACCTACCTGAGGAGACAGGCCGTTGCTGACGGGGTTCATGTGGTTGGAGGGGGCCCCCGGGTTCATGAAGCTGTCGGAGTAGCTGGAGAAGCTGTGGCGGGCTCCGTAGGCAGAGCTGGTGTCCGCGGCTGCGGCCAGCCCACCCTGGTGCATGGTGGACGGCGGGAGGGGCTGGGGCCGGTGCACGGTGCTGCCCCCATCTGTGGAGAGTCCCCAGAGAATCCTGAGCAAGGGACCTTGCCCTGGAGGCTGTGCCTCTGAGGGCAGGAAAGAGCCTCCTAGGAGGAAGGCCGGCCATGAACCTCTTCAGCCCAGGCTCACCCCTGGGGGAAAGCGGCCACCTTCTCAGGTGACTTGGGAAGGGACACACTGGCTCCTGAGCAGGACACTAGGGACGGGCCAAGTCTTGACTGACACCCTTATGCCCAGACGTCCTCTCTGCAACTGCATGCTGCTCTTGTTGCAGGTACACAGCAAGTGCTCCATAAATGTTAGCTAGACTGAAAGTCACCCCCTGTGACTCTAATCGGCTCAGACTTGGCCTGTTCCTGTATGTGAGCATCGGCCACGTGCCAGGGGCTTCCACAGGCGCTGTCCCAGGGCCACGAGGTGAGAATTCGATTCTCATTTTACAGATGACAGCACCAGTCTTGGTGGGGTTGGGGACTCATGCAAGGTGACAAGGCCAGTGGGTGGTGGGACGAGGGTTCACATGGCTTGACCCGGAGCCGTTTCTGTTCCTAGCTGTCGGGCAGCTACACGGCTCTGTCAGGGTCCCTCTGTGCAGCCCTTGTTGGGAATGCAGAGTCTCGGGCCCGCAGCCCAGCATGTCCCCAAGATGCCCGGGACCCGTGATGGAAGGGATTTGGAAAGCTCTCTTCCAACAGGTGCTCGGAGGTGCCCAGCTGAGCCTCCTGGAGGGTGGCCTCTTGAGCCAAGGATTTCAAGGGCATGGCGGGGACTTTTTTGGCTTAACAGTGTGTGCACAGGAAAGTCCACAAGTGGGACAACCTAGAAGGGACAACCCCTGTGAGCCAGAGGACTGGAGGCTCAGGTGGCCGGGGAGGGACTCGGGGCGGGCCGCACGCTCACCTTGGGAGATGGTGGTGGTGGGGTAGGTGGAGTCCGGCAGCTGGTAGGGGGGCAGCGTGGGCATGCCCGTGGGCGGGAAGCCCCCTGGCAGGAGGTGGTTGAAGGCTGCCAGCTGGTTGGCTCCTGCCTGCTTCCGCCAACGGGCGCGGCGGTTACTGAACCAGACCTGGGGGAGGAGATCGGAGATGGAGACCACCGACTGGAGCAGCTGGAACTAGTCCCCACCCCAGCCACATCCTCTGGCCCAGGCAGCGTCCTTCTCCAGGGAAGGACGGCCCCCGTCATGCAGACCTGGACGGTCTGTGGGAGGATTTCATAGGCAGGACCCCCTTCAGTCCTCATGGCCAGTGAAGAAGTTCTTATCATTGTCCCCATTTTAAAGATGAGGAAACTGAGACTCAGAGAAAATGGGTAACTGGCCACAACAGGGTAAGTCGAGGCTCAGACCAGCCTCTCGGCCGGTGATCACCCCACGGCTGCTGCGCCAGCCCTGAGGGTGCAGGTAGCCTGCCGGCCATCCTTGCCCATGTTGTGTGTACCCGACCCTGTGCTCACTTTACAGCAGGGGAAACTGAGGCTCGGAGAGGTCACAGCTCGCTCAAGGCCACCTGCCTGCAATGGATCTAGGTTCCAACTGAAATCAGCCTGGCTCCAGGGCCGGCTCGCCTGGGTTTGCAACTCCTTAGGACCCAGAGAGACAAGGAGAGGGTGGTGGGCTGCTTCGAGGGCTGTCCCCACCTCTGGGCTCGACACCTGCTGCCCCCTCTCACCCCAACGCCCTTCCTGCAACTGGTTCCTTCAGCTCAAACACCCCTCAGTGCCGACTCCCTCACTTCTCATCTAAGGTGGGTTCAGGGGGCTCCCCACTCCCCTCGGGAGGTGCTCAACAAAAACATTTACTGAGTGAAGTCACGGTGGGCAGACGGGGAGGGCGGCGGGCTCTGGTGCGTCTCTGCTGGGCGGGAGCCACAGGGCCCAGCTGGGTGCAGGTGCTCGGGGCCCTGACATGGCTCTTCTCTAGGTCCTCTCGGGGAGCAGCGGCACTAGAGCAGAGAGGGCTCCACCCACTTGGGCCAGGTTGGAGGGAAGGCAGCCGCCTCCTCAGCCAAACCAGGTCCCTCTGCTCCCCAGCTTTGTGGGCACCAGGGGCATCCCAGGGGCCTCCTGGGCTGGGCTGGACCTGGACCCTGGGAGGAGTGGGCACTGGCTCCCGGCTCCCAGCCTCCTGGAGAAGGGTGGGGACGCTGGCTGGAGTCAGTCCACCTGGAGGCCACGGGGGGACAGATGTCCAGGTCGCAAACAGCCTGAGCCCAATGCCCCGCCCACTTCTCTGGGCCCTTTGGGGCTTGGGGAAGGGCGGCCTCCGTCAGGTGCTAATGCGTCCTCCTCTTGTCCTGGGCCCTCTCTCCTACTCGCTAATCTCCCTGTCCAGCCCAGGAGGGCTTTGCAGGTGGCAGTTCCTGCAAGACTTCCGCCGTGTTTGGTTTCCACAGTGCTTGTGTCGCCCTGTTGCTGCCCCTTTATGGACACGCTGCACGCGTTTACTTTAAAATACGTTCATTTTGCTAAAGGAAGTAACACAGCAGAGAACGTGAGCGTGGCAAGAGCCTCTCGGACACGGGGGGACGGTCACTGACGTTTGGGCGGCGGGGCGTCCTGGTTTGTCACATGTCCTGGTCTGTCACGGGGCTGTCCCCTCCTGCTGGCTCATCTTTTCCTCAGATCAAAGTGCAAAGTGGACTGGGAAGCAGCTCCCTCCTTCCCTTCCGGCCCCTTCTCTGCTCCTTTCTCCGCCTCCCCTCCCCCTCTCGACCTCCTCCTCACCCCTGACAGACCCCGAGCACAGACATGGGCAGCCCGTCCTGGTCCTGCAGCTGCCCTCCGCCTGGAGTAGGACCCTCGAGCCAAAGAACCACTGCTTCCCTGTGCGGGGACCTCAGGCAGCTGCCTCGCAGGTGTGTGAGGAGGCCGACTGCCTCCCCGGGGCTCAGGAGGACCCTGTCGGGGAGAGGGCCTGCCCCTTGTCCCTGGGACACCGCCATCCCACCGGGGTCCCCACTTCCCACCAAGTGTGGCTTGATGGGTGACAGCAGGCTCCCCGGGGCCAACTGCTTGGGTTTGGGCCTTGCCCTAACCTCCAGCTAAGATGGGGACGTCTGTTGTCCCTCCCTCTGAGCCTCCACCTTGTGACCATCTGCAGTTCTGGACCCCTTGAGGGCACTGGTGACATACAGCATTGTGCTGTCTGCCAGAGACACGTGAAGTCACTGAGCTGAAGGCTCCTGGCCAGCGTCAAGTGCGAGGTGCCCGTTTACAGGCCGGAGGTGGGGACTCCCGGGGGGGGGGGGACAGTCGAGGTGCCAGCACCCACCCAGAGCCCCTGACCGGGGCTGGGCTCTGGGAAAGCAGCGCTGGTCTTATGATTCTTTATTCTTTTTTGTGGCGCTGGAGACGGAACCCAGGGCCTTGTACATGCCGAGCACGTGCTCTGCCACCGAGCTGCACCCCAGCCCCAGCACCTAGCCCAGGAGCGGGCACAGTAGGACCATCTTGCAGAGTTGAATTTCACCTGATCTGTCTCTTAGTGTTGCCCAGAGGAAAAGAACTCGGGCAGAGACTGAGCCCAGCACAGCCACGTTCTGTGTGGCCAGGAAGCTGTGTCCCTTAGCTACACCTCAGTTTTCCTGTCTGCAGTATGGACAGAGGAATGACCCCTCACCTCCTAGGGTTACAGCGAGGAGGGGTGGAGACGCTGCAGAGTAGGGAACGTCCTGCCTGGCACTGCAGACGCGCACCGTCACCTCACTGTAAAGCTGTGACCGTCACCTCACTGTAAAGCTGTGAGCGGATTCAGTGCAGGTTGCGCCAGGCCGGGTGGCGCACGCCTGTAACCCCAGTGGCTCAGGAGGCTGAGGCAGGAGGATCACAAGTTCAAGGCCAGCCTTGGCAATTTAGCAAGTCTTGCTAAGCAACTCAGTGAGACCCTGTCTCTAAATGAAATACAAAATAGGGCTGGGGATGGGGCTCAGGGGTCCAGTGCCCCTGAGTTCAATCCCTGGTACCCCCTAAAAAAAGACTCCATGCAGGCCTCTAATCAGCCAGCCCTCGGGGCCTCCAAAATGGCATTTCTGTTCAGCTGACAGCAGGGTTCTGAACCGGGGCCACCGGGTGCCCGCTGCTGCCCTTCCCTGAAGGGTGGGAGGTGCTGTGGGTGACCTCGGGACCCAGCAGCCCCTGGGCCTCTGTTTCCAGAAGAGATGCTCAGGCTCCAGGGTGACGCCACTGATCTGTTCGCCTCCAGGGGAGAGGCAGGCAAGGCTGGGCCGGCCTCCAGCAGCTGAAAAGTGGGAATTCCTCAGCGTGGTCCTGGGTCCCTGGCCTGCATGCCCTGCCCCTCCTGTGGCTCGGGCTTCCTGCTGGCTTCTCTATGGCCAGCCCAGAAGGCTTCAAGGGGGGCTCCTGACTCCTGGGGGCCAAGCTGGGGGGAGCCCGAGGGCAGGAATAGCCGGCTCTCCCCACAGCTCCTGACTCACCCTCCTGCAGGAGGACCTTGACCTCCTGCTTCCCTGTTTACTAGAATGGCGGCCCATGGCCACGGGCACTTCTGCCTGAGGAATCCCTGTCTGGTGGACAATCCTCACTCAATGATGGCCAGAGGGACAGACACGGAGCCACAGGGGCGGCCAGCGCTGGAACTGCCAAGGGCAGGTGGGCTCTTCATGATCCAGCCCCTCTGGGCGCCAGGCGTTTCTTAATAGATTTTTATTTTTTTTTACACTTAATCATTTAATCCCAGAACGAGGCTGACCCACTGCTCCTGCCTCCACGGTGCAGAGGAAGAGACCGAGCGGAGAGCGGAGGGGTGGGGATGGAGCTGGCTTCCGGTTCTGACTGCACCCCGAACCCGTCCACTGCCCACCATGTCCACCCAGGGCCACGGGGATGAGACAGGATTGGATTGTAAAACCCCAGAACCACAGATTTAGGATCAGAGACCAAGACCTCAGAAGCACAGAGCCAAGCCCTGCGCCATGGGGCATGCCTGTAATCCCAGCCCCTCTGGAGGCTGAGGCAGGAGGATCACAAGTGGAGGTCAGGCTCAGCAACTTAAGGAAACCCTCAGCAACTTAGCAAGACTCTGTCACAAAATAAAAAATAAAAAGAACTAGGAATGTAGCTCAGGGATAAAGCACCCCTGGGTTTAATCCCCGGTACCTAAAAACAAGAAGCTCAGAATCTAGAGCTCAGAATCTCGGGATCGCTCTCTAGGTTCCCGGGTCCGCTGGACACTGTGCTTTAGCTCGAACACTTCTACAGATGGGGTCCCCTCCCCTCCCCAGCATCCCTGGTGGTCCACAGTGAGAACCCCAGAGCTTCCAGAAGGCGTCGTGGTCACTGAGCTCCGTCCCCTGTCTAAGATGGACACTAACTCTCTGGAAGGGAAAGTGGCCTGCCCAGGTGTCCCAGCGGGTCAGAGGCGGGACCCACAGGCTCGGGAGCTCTCTCCCTGTGGACCTTCCTGCTGGACTGGAGCGGATGCCCTGTTGTCCCTGGTCCCTCCACCCTCGGGCTCCGAGCAGCACGGGCTTCAGTTCCCTCGGGCTACAGGGTCTTGATTTTGTTTTTGCGGTGGACGCTCAGCCTTTGTTCCTTCTTCAAAAACTCAACATTTTTGTTTCTTTTCTCTCCTAAGAGACCCTGGGGGCTAAGGAGCCCCTGGAGGTCACAGCCGGTGGCAGGAGCATGGCAGGGAGCAGTGTGCCTGGGCTCCCCGCTCCTCCACTCCCAGCCCCCGCCCTCCTTGGACCTTGAGTGACACCTGTTTCTAGGTCCCCTGGGCCCATAAGAGCAGGGTCCTGACAGCCAGGCCATTTCACAGGGAGCAGGCAGGCTGCAAGGTGGCGGGAAGAGCCCGGCCGGACGTGGGAACCAGAGGCCCCAGGAATGCGCTGCACAGCTGCAGGGATCAGGCAGGCCAGGCCGGGCAGGCTCAGATGTCCCCCTGGCTGGGAGGGGAAGGCAGAGCGCTGCCCCCCGCTGGGAGTCAGGCTGCAGGCTCCAGCCAGGGTCTCCCTGATGGTCTGAGTCACCATCTCCTCCGCGTGGAAAGAACGTGGGCGTTGGCACCACCAGGCCCAGCCAGCGGGGTCCAGCTCCGTGCCCGGGGGTGGCCGCTTCCCTGGGCCTGTTTCTGTCCCTCGGGCTTGGGGGCTGTCCAGGCTGCACGAGGCCACCTGTGAGGAGTCGCGGGCACTGCAGTGGGCACCCAGGGGGTGCGAGGAAAGCTGGTCCCCCCGCTGGTCACAGCCCCAGCAGCAGTCAGGGGCAGCCCCTCTGCAGGCCCACTGCCTGTTCATTAGGAGCTAGCCCAGGAGTGGTTCCCACTGAAGCCACTTGTCACCTCCTGTCCTCTTCCTCCTCCACAGCCTGAGCCCTGGCACTGAAGGACATCTGTAGGTCTCATGTCGGAAGTCCAGGGCCCAGCCTGGGGACATGAGGCCACCCCCTCCCCAGGGCAAGCCTGGAGCCCCGGGCTCTGGCCCTACCCCGCCCCTCCTTGAAGGCCTGGGGGGGACAATCCAGGTCTGGGGTCTCCCTGCCCTGGCCTGATGGGTCACACCCACCTGCCTGGCCTCTGGGGCGCTTCCCACACGGGAAACTCGCGACCCATCTGCGGAGGCCAGGCCTGCTCAGAAGTCCCCTCCCCACGGTCCCCATCAGAGACCCGCAGCTCAGTGCCCTTCCTTCTCCTTCCTCCGCCTCCCTCTTCTTCTTTCTGTCCCTCCATGTCCCCTCCCCTTGGGCTGTCCACCTCGATCAGTCACATTGGCTGTCCACGCACTCTGCTCCAGGCGCTGGTGGCATTAATCACTCACCTGGTCCCCAACGCCCTGTTGCACCCCCCACCCCCTCGCACTGACCTTGGCCTCCTCGGAGCCGGGCCCTCGCGTCCCCTCACCTGCACGCGGGCCTCGGTCAGCTTGGTCCTCTGGGCCAGCTCCTCGCGGGTGTAGATGTCGGGGTAGTGGGTCCTCTCGAAGGCCTTCTCCAGCTCCTCCAGCTGCTCGGCCGTGAACGTGGTCCGGCTGCGGCGCTGCTTGCGCTTCAGAGGGAGGTCGGGTTCCGACTCCACGTCTGAGCCCTCGTCCAGCCGGTTCCCTGCAGCGGGCGAGAGGGGAGACCGCGGGCCCGTGAGGCGGAGGGCGGGTCTGCAAGGAGCCACACGCGCCCACCTCTGAACACTCACTGAGGACCGGGTCCCTCCCGAGCAGGGAAGGATGCTGACCGCTGCAGGGTCTGTGGGAAGCAGCCTCCATCCCCGGCCCCAGGAGGCTGGCTAAGCAGTTTCTGGCAAAACCATTTTTTTTTAAAGCTAATCCCCCATAGTTGGGCATTTAGATTATTTCCACTCGCACGGATGGATACCCATGACATAAGGCTCAGGGGGTGGTTTCATGGTGAAATACATTTGTCAAAATTCACAGAAGTATATTCTCCAAGAAAGGGAGGGTTTTGCTGCATATTAACGACATCTGAAAAACCGACTTTAAGAAAAAAGCAAGGTACAAACCGGTGGGCAGAGATCAATTCCGCCTGCAGAAAAGCACGCACAACCCTAGGACCCAAACCCGCACAGGCGCCCACCCCGGGGCCGGACGGCGCTTTCTTTGTTATACTTGTATTTAGGTGTTTTAAAATGATGATCGTTTCAACAAGACTGTTGTGGGGTTTTGTGGAAATATTGCAAAAACTAAGAGAAGGAGGGGCGTGGGGGAGGGGGAGGTGGGGGAGAGTGGAGGGGGCACGACTGACAGTGCACCTGACGGTCCTCCTCCGGCTCCTGCTCTCCCCCTCACAGGCTCTACCGGGCCCCACAGTGGCGTGTGGGAGCTCAGACTCCTGCCTGCCTCTGCTCTAGGGAGGCTAGCTTCCCGCGGGCCTCAGCTTCCCTACATGTAGCATGAAACGTTGGGACTATGTGACTTCCACAGGCAGGCCCTTCTGGGACACTCCCAGATCTCTCAGTGACCTCCCAGCCTGGAGGAGGGGACCTCACCTGGGTGATCTTGGTTGGGCCATGGCCCCCACCTCTTGACTCCTACTAACTTCCACCCTGGAGCCTGGAGGTGAGTGAAGGCTTTGGTTTCCTGTGCAGAGAGAGCAGGAAGCTGGAGCCAGCTTGCTCCCCGGCACTGGAAGGGGCTCTCAGGCCAGAAATCCATTTCTGCCCCAGTTGCAGCCTGGGGAAGCTTCAGGAAGGGCTTGATCAAGCTTCCCAATGGTTGGGGCTGAGGCTGAACTGGCTCCCCACCCCCACTGATCCCCTGCCTCTTGCCCATTTCTGACACTGTCAAGGGGGTGCTAGCAGGGAGGTCCCTAGCCAGGGCTCAGAAGCTCTGCCCCACCCACCAGGAGGGCCTGTGGGCAGCGTGGGGGAGGGGCTGGTGAGAGAAGCAAGCAGGGGAGCAGGAAGGTAGGGGGGCAGGGAGAGAGCCCTGACGTCCTCCTCCTCCGGCTGCTGCTCTCTCCCTCTCCTCTTTGCCTCTGTCTTCCTTCCTTCCTCCATCTTTGGAGTCCCGGAAAACACCCTGAGTTTTTATTCATTCCCTCACCAGACGGTTTACTGAGCATCTGCTTTGCCTGAATGGACACGGCGTCACGGGCCCACACTACAGATGGGAGAAACTGAGTCACAGAACCTCAGAGGGGAGTGTCCAGGCTGTCAGGGTCCCCTCGGCACTCGGCTGCGGTCCCACCTGCTCACCAACTCCAGGGCACACCCTGCCGTGCCCAGCTCAGTGACGCCCGGGACCCCACGAGGAGCGACCCCCCACACACACGCTGGAAAGCAACGGAAACAAAGAGGAGCTCGGCCCCTTCGACGCAGAGGAGGTGAGGGGACGGCGGGCAGAGGCCACGTTGCTGAAGGGCACGGTGGGCGGTCCACCCCGTGCTGCCCTGCAGGTCACTCGGGGAAGGGGGCAGCGTCCACCTGCAGCCCAGCTGCCTGGGGCAACATCCTCTGCTGTGCCCTGGGTTCCTTCTCCCCGTCCTTTACCTCACCCGTTGGGAAGTCGTCCCTGTGCCTTACTGACCACTGCCAGGCTGTCCCCAGCTGTGACATCATGCCATACACCCAGGGAACCAAGCCAGTCCTCCCTTCACTGCTGAGGGCAGATCTGGGGACAGGGCCGACCCCTCCCCTGCCCTTCACGGCCCGGGCTGCCAGCTGCCCGGCCCCCTCTGACACCGAGAGCAGACGGCGCGGGTCCAGCTGGCATCCCGGCCCCTCCCTGGCACCTGGGGCTCAGAGCCAGAGACGACTGATCCCAGGGACTCACGCCTTGGAACTCGCTGCGGGCCTGACTCCTGATGGGGACAAGGAGGGCGAGCGCGGCTCTGAAGGAGGACCTGGCGGTGGCAGGTGGCCAGGGATGCAGGAGTGGCACCCGTGCAGGGACCCTCAGGCTCAGGCAGGACAGGGATCAGGGTTGTCAGAGGCGAGACCCCGGCACAGATTGTCCTCAGAGCCGGGAGTCGGAGGGCGGTCCCCTGAGGGAGGGGCACAGTCGCCCTGGAGGGAGCCCAGGCTAGTGGCCCAGGCTGCGCACAGAGCCTCGGCGGTGACGGGAGGCTCTCCACCCACGCTGTGCCGTGTGGCCGTCCTGGCCGCGTGTGGCATCTGGAGAGCCACTGGAGAGCTGTTTTCCACTGGGCTTGACTTTGTTTCCGACCTGCCTCCCACACCTCCCCTCAGGGCAGGGGCAGCCCTGGGCCCGGAGCTGCCCGCAGGGACACTCCAGGACACTGAAGGCCCGGAGCCGGCACTCGGGGCTCCCGGGCAGGAGCGCTGCTCTCCTGAACAGGGTTTCCACGGCGCTTCTGTACAAAGTAAAGCCCTAAGGAAATAACAGCAGACTATCAGGCTGTGACCAAAACTGTGACAATGACCAAATGACCCACATCTGTCTCAGGCAGAGGCGCCCAGTTCAAGGTGCTTCCGTCCACTGCCCAGGCTCAGTGCCTCTGCCCCACCCCGTGCCTCTGCTCTCCAAGATCCTAGGCCCACCATGGACCTCTGCTCTGGTCCCCTGCCCCCCAGCTCGCCCTCCCTGGATCAGCAGGATCTGGGGAGCCCGTGGGGCCAGAGAGACCCAGACAGCAGCCCAGGCGGAGGAAGCGAGCAAGCCCACAGGTCCCCGCTGTTTGGGAGGATCTGGAGGACACTGTGGGATGATGTGTTGCCATAACAACTCTGGGGATGCTGAGAAGGGACAACAAGACTGTCCTCCACCCGCAGAGACGCAGACACATCTTAGGAGAAGGGGACCACAGTCTATATGTGACTTCAGTCCCCTGAAGGAGAGTTTCCACCCGCTCCCCGGCCTCGCAGGGGATGAGACCCCCATTTGAGGGTGTGGGGGGCTTCTCTGTGCTGTTCACATGACAGGTCTATGAAGCTGGGACAACTGGCTCTTTTTAAAATAAGGAAACCGGGCGCAGTGGTGCACCTCTGTAATCTCAGTGGCTCAGGAGGCTGAGGCAGGAGGATGGCAAGTTCAAAGCCAGCCTCAGCAATGGCAAGGTGCTAAGCAACTCAGTGAGACCCTGTGTCTAAATAAAATATAAAATAGGGCTGGGGATGTGGCTCGGTGACTGAGTGCCCGAGTTCAATCCGTGGTACCCCTGCCCCCCCCAAAAAATAGGAAAACCAAGGCTCAGAGAGGTTCAGTCACTTCAAGGAGCTCACACAGCCCCCATAAGACCATGGAGAGGGATAGTGAGGAAGGGACTGATTGGCAGGAAGCGTGACAGCCTTGGGGACCTGATAACTGGGTCCTGATCTCTGTCTTTCCTTTGCTGTGTGGCCTTGGATAAGTCTCTTCCTGTCTCTGAACCTGGGTTTTCTCAGCTGTAGAAATGAGGATAAAAGCACACCCCTGCCTTCGGCACTGGATGGCTTTGGGGGTGTAATGGAAAACAGTCTTCGAGAATAATTTGGAAGAGAAAGGACACAGGATCATTACTGTTGATGATGGTGGTAACGAGGGTGGTGACGGGGTGGGGTGGAGGGGCGACCGGGCACAGCAGGGTAAGAAGGAGCCTTGACTCTGCTTCTCGCCTCCACCTGCCTGGCGCCCTTCCCCCTCCCCGCCCCCAGGAACCCTTTAGCCTCTGAGTTAAATTAATCAACAGGATGAAGTGGGATTGGCCGCAGAGAGTCCTGCTGACGGGGGCTGAGTCCTCCACGCACCAAAAGCCAGGCGCTGAGCAGTCAGCGTGGGGTGGGGGCACGTGGGGGACGGACATGGGAACGCATTCATTACGGGCGGCCGAGAGGGGCCTCCTGGTCAGCCCGGCCTTTCCAGCAGCTGAGGGTAACGTCCCTAGGGCCAGGCCCTGGTCTGAAGATGGCCCGAGACAGGGCAGGGTGCAGGACACAGGTTCCTGGATCCTGTCTCTGCCGGGAGGCTGGGGAGGCCCCCGATCTCGCAGGGGGAACAGCTTCCCCCGTCAGAAGCCCCCAGTGTGACGGGGGTGTGGGGGGGTACCTGGGCCTGAGGATTCCCGGGTCAGCGGTGGAAAGACTGTTTCCAGGTGACCTGGGCACAGGACAGGCCTCCATCAGCAGGACACCCAGGTGACCTGCGAAAGCCACCGAGCAGCCTGAGGACGGAATGAAGGGCAGGGCCTGTGGTCTGGCCAGGCTGAGGGTGGGGTGCAGCCCGGCAGGTCAGCGACGGCGGATGTGAAGTTTCTGGGGTGATGCTCAGCTACCCCCAGACCCTGCCTCCTTCAGAGCCCCCGCCCACCTCTGGGAAATGGCTGCCCACTGCCCGGTGGGCCAGGAAGCCCTGGCTCTGCCAGGAGGCCCCACCACCACCATGCGGCCCAGTGTCCAGACACTCCGCCCCCCGCGGGCCTCCCTGTCCAGCTCTGGCTTCCTTAAACGGAAGAGCCAGGGGCTGTGACCACAGCTCCCTCTGCTTCAGGGTCGCCCCTGCCATGGTGGGGGGGTCCTGCTCATCCCGGGCAGCCAGCTCAGGGGCAGTCTGCCCAGCAAGGCCCATCCCCGCGGGCTCAGGGCCTGCCCTTGGCTCTCAAAGCTCACCCGTGGGTCAAGGCGCTGCCTGACTGTGACTGTGGTCTGCGGGTGTCCCGGGCTGGGGGACCCTGGGGCTCAGTGGGCTCACTCCTGAGTGCAGCCGGGCGGGGCGACAGCGGGGTTCCTTCTGGACTCACCCCCTGCAAATCAGCCCCCTGCACGTGGGCACAGCCCTCTACAGTCACAGCCCTTCACTGACCCGACGCCGGCCTCCAGAGCCGCTGGGAGGGTCGAGCTGGCAGCCGAGCCCCATTTCACAGGTGTCCCCTGGGGTCCCAGGCTGGAAAGGAACCCCAGCCCCCAGCACGCCCAGCCCGGTGACAGGGTGACAGACTCGGCCACTGCCAGGTCCCTGGGTGATGTTGGAGTCCATTTCTGCTCCTGAAAACCAAGGTGGCCTCTTCCCACCCCCACCTTGCCCTTGGCTCTCTCTCTTGTGGAGGAAACCAGGCAGGAGGAGGGACCAGTCCCTGTCGCCCCAGGTCACAGAAGCCAGCACTGGCCGAGCCTGGGGTCCGTCACAGTCACCCTCCAGCCCTGGCCCTCGCCCCAGCCCCCAGCCCGCCGCCTCCCGCCCGGCTTTTATTACAGTTTAACATGGGCCGCGCGCGGGCTGCGCACAGAACGAATCACATAATAGTTGATATGCGTTTTAATCAAGTAATTCGGGCAGAGCCAGAGCCGGCGAGTGCGGCCAGCCTCCCTGAATACCAAGCAGGCCTGGGCGCGGCCTCGGAAGATGGAAAAGCCATTTACAGCCCAGCGGGGGCCGTGTGGCAGGCCTGCCCCTCCCCAGAACCGCTCAGCTGTGACAGCGGCTGGCCCGGCTCGGTCCTGTCTGCAGGGGCTGGACCCGCACAGGGGCAGGCGAGGGGCCTGGCACCCAGAGGCAGGGACCTTCCCTGTTAACCCCCGGGGGGCTGAGCGCGGGGACAAGGGCCCCTCCGGCCTCCTCCTCCACCCTCGTTTCCCTTGGGTGCCCACCTCAGCCCTGGGCACTGCCAAGCATCCGTGAGGCCCTTTCCTCTCCCTCAGAGCCTCTCGGGCACCCAGCTGGGCACCAAGGCCAGGAGCCTGGGAACGAGGCCCACACCCCCAGCCGGGCACTGCCCTGCAACCACGGGCTCTGCACGGTGCGCCCTGGCCGCTCTTGGCCTGTGGGTTCCTGCAGCTCGCAGCGGCCGAGCCGGGCAGCAGAGCCGGGCACCCCGACTCAGCGGGCAGGGCCCGTGGACTCCGCCAGAGAAGCGGGTCAGAGCAGGATCCGCACTCCTCTCCGCAGCTCGCGGCACAGACGCACAGGCCGAACGCTCTGTTTTACTGTCCCCAAGACTCTGCCACCAGCTGCCACCAGTACCCCCTCCAGGAGGGTATGCGCCCTCTCGGGGCCTCTGCTCCCTGCTGAGTCTCCTGTGCTCACAAAGGGGACCCCTGAGTATCCGCTGCACCCATGAGTGAATGAACCATGGGACGAGTGAGTACCTCAAGGACCCGGGACCGCACTGGGGACCCTGAAGGCGTCCCCAAGGACACCCTCTTCCATCTGAGGCACAGCTAAACTGTCCACACCTGATTCACCTCGCATATGTCCTGGGCACCCACTCTGTCCCCAGTGCTGGGGAGTCAAAGGGGAAATTGGCCCGGCCAGGCCCCCCCACTGAAGCGGCACAGCTCCTGCACCCAGGCAGGGGTCCCAACCAGGTGGAGAAGGGGAACAGGGGGCTCTCGAGCCGGAGGAGGGTCTAGACACGGGCCCCCGAGGGCCGTCCTGGGCAGATGGAATCTCCATCAGCCCCTAGGCTCTGCTGCCCTCGGAGGCCCCACAGCCCCCTTCCCTGCCCCTCCCTGGAGAAGCTGGAATGTTCTGTGCCCACTGGCATCTGGGGACTCCATTATCCCCAACCCCTGGGTCAAGGTAACAAGGCAACCCGCTGCCCCAGAGGAGGAAACGGAGCACAGTGTCTGGGGACGGCCCAGGGCCACCCCCCAGGGCCTGGGTCCTTCTCCGAGGTCTTGAGCTGGGGCTCCCCGCCCCTCCACTGGGCGCTCAAGGGGCTTCCCAGATGGCAAAGGGTGAGACCCTCCCGGCTAGCATCCGAAGGGTCCGAGGACCCAGAACCAGACCCCTGGCCTGAGAGCCTCCCAGGGCAGGGACGCCAGGGGGGTGCAGAGCCACCTGGCCTCTGCCTGACCTGGATCCTGTGCTTCTTCCCTCTCCCAGCCCCCAGGCAGGAGCTGGAACCCCCAGCGGCCACACTGAACCCTCCCTCCTCCGGGAAGTCCCATTCAGCCCATCAGTTTTAAGCTCTGAATCTAAGGTAGACGATTTGCACCCCCAAAATGTGGGGCCCCGTGTGGGGCATGGTAAGATCATGGCCCTGGGCTAAGAGCATGATATTGACCTGAGGCGCCAGAGAGCGCTGTTTATACATTCCTGCCAGGAAGGGACAGACCTGGGAAGAAGGAAGTAGTACTACTTAAAATGGTACTGTGTAGTTATGTGGCCAAAACTCAGAGGCATGTTTTCTCAGGACAGATCCAGAGCTTGGTTTTCTGCACTGAGTTGTGAACTAAGCACAGATGGGAGAGAAGACATAAATGTCAAGGGCGGGAAACATCTGAGCCAAGGGCACTTGGTCAGGGAAGACTTCCTGGAAAAGAGAATTCTTATCTAAGGTTCACCCAGCTACGGCAACTGGCTGAGGCAGAAGATGTCCTGAGCGTCCTGCCAACTCAGTCGCTTTATCTCATTGGTGTCCCCTGCAGCTACTGCGGGGCTTGGGAAGGGGGGATATTTTGGGGCAGGAACTAGCCCACTGTGTGAGGAGCTCAGTTCAACATCAGCTACAGGCTTCCTACAGCTTAAGATCATCTTGAAAATAATCGCCCTTTCATCCCCTTCCTCCCTGGGACATTTCAATCACTCGCTCCCTAAGTCGCCCGGCAAGCAGAGGGCCACCGCCGGGCCAGGCAGAGCAGAGCGCACAGCGCTGGCCACTCAAGACCCGACCACCGGGGCCTGTCACAGAGGTGTGGCCAGGGCAGCACTGGGGGAGAGAGGGGAAGGACAGCAGCTGTGGTCACAGGGACCCGGCTTTCTCTCTGGGCCTGCCTCCCTCCAGCCACGGAGGCCGGATGTGTCCCTGAAGCCCGGTTCTGGTCACTTCCAAAATGAGGGTCGTGCTGGGAGTGAGAAGGGGGGCAGGAGAGGAAAACCGCGAGCAGAGGCTGAGCTCCAGACCCGTCGGTGACAGGGACCAGGATGCCCAGACCCTGCCTGACCTCCCTCAGAAGGGAAGTCGGGGGGCGGGGTCCTGGCACTTCCTGCTCAGTCTCCAACCTGCCACATGACCTGGGGCACGTCCCTCGTCCAAATGGACTCTCCTTCCTCCACGGGGCCTCCCGCAGGTGCCCGCTGGCCACAGGGATGGGAACGTGGAGAGGTGCCCAGTGACAGCCAGCCCCACGCTCAGAGGACGCTGCGGGTCCACCTGGGGCTTCCTGAGGATGGGACTGTGTGTCTTCTATTATCCTGGGTGTTACTCCAGGCAGGGCAACTGGGAACCGTTCTGTGGTTCCTAGAATTAAGAACATTCTAGAATGTTCAAGAACAAGTCCCTAATCGGAACTGCAGCCATCGGTTAAATGAAGGAGCCACGGACGGACCTTGGTTGTGACAGACGGAAGCACCAACCCGAGCTTCCCAGGGCCACAGCTTCCCTCCCAGGGCTGCGAGCTCCCTCCGGCCGCACTCTGCCTCTGTGACAGGTGGCCCAGCGACCTGAGGCGGGCAAGTCCAGCAGAGGGTTGGGG